TACTAGTAGCTTCTTGTTACTACTAGTAAGGCACTTGTTACTAGAAGCGATGCACTTGCTACTAGTAGCTTCTTGTTACTACTAGTAAGGCACTTGTTACTAGAAGCGATGCACTTGCTACTAGTAGCTTATTGTTCCTGGACCAGTGAGTTCGTAGAATGCCGCACCAAGGCAAGTCGGCCACCTGTTTTTGGACGAGAAGCGAGGGGTTGGCAAGGTGGGACCGACCGAGACACCGCAGAGTTCCACTGTACGCACCGATGCATGCTGAACGATGTCGCACAGTGAACCACGCGATGCGATGCAGTGTGTTTTGCAGCGAACGCATTTGCTTTTGCTTTTCCACACTTGACTGTGGCTCTGCCAGTGACCTTCAGTGAAGTGTCTTTGTGTAACGTCCTCGCAGCTGTTTTTCGCTCCAGCTACTGTTCCAGGGTGAGTGGGCAACTCCCAGAACTACCCAGCAAGGCCGTGCTCATCACTTGCTGCTGCTCTTGACTCCTCCGTGCTTTTCCTCTTGGGCACCTTCTTCACTTTCCCTCCATGCCAAAGTTCCAACGTCAGGCAGACCAGGGGACGAATTCTGACCAGCTTTTTCTTGGAGAAGCAGATTAACTTGTCTTTTTTTGAATAGCTCACCAGTTGACTAGGTGCTTTTTTTCAACATGTAGAACAGCATGCACTGTGAATCTCTTTTGGGCAGATCAACCATGATCAACCATGATCAACTGCTGCCGTTTTCTTTTTCTTCTGGGCGAACCATGATCTTCTCCGCAGACGTCAAAGACGTGGGCTGCTCCCGTATACCACCTCCGTGTCCCGAGTCCTCACACCAGTCCTCACCTCGTCCTCGTCGAACATCGGGCGTCCGACCGGACCAAACGGACAGCGAACGAGGCGACGCATGCGAATGAGTCGGACATCTTACACTTGATCGATCAGCGCTTCGAGGACTTGGAGGAGACGGTCTCCCTAGCCGCCTTGGTGCCACAGCTCCATGACCGGCTCTTTGAGGTGAGAGAGGGAGGATGGTTCCGGTTTCAACCGACCAGCTTTTGAAACCAAAGAAGACAAGGGAACTTTAAGCTTCCGACATAAGGATACATAAGGCTTGAATATTCCTTTATATATATATATTTATATTTTTCAGATTGCGTTTACACTTCTTTTTTTAAAGAATCTCTTCGAGGTGGAGCAGATCGTGAAGCGTTTGCAAGAGGAACCTCCCAATCGTGGCCCTCGATGGAGTGTGAGTGACTCCAAACCACCAGCTCCTCTAGCACCACCAGATGATGATGATGTTGAGGGTCAAAAGGCATTGGTGCCCAGGCTATCCTTACCCAAAGGAGAAGAAACACCAGTGCCACCGGAGAGAGAGGAGATTCCCACAGGCCTCTCACCTCGCTCCATGGCAGCCCATTCTCCTGTAAAGCGGGAGAGACGGAAGACCATCACCCAGGTCTCGCGCGACAAGATGTCCGACATCAACGAACGGCTCCTGGACACCCAGACGAGTGAGTACTACACCTTCGGAGAATCCACCTGGGATTTGGTGATCTTCATCGGCACCGGAGCGCTGGGGCCTCTAGGGAGTCTCCAAACAGTGCTTTTGGCCTTGGTGAATGTGCTGATGCAAATCGTCTTCGTGGCCATTGCTTACTACAACTTCACAGTGCCTGACATCGACTCGAAAGCTGTGCTAGAGGCTGACCGCTGGCGCCGCTCCTCAGGGCATTCATTCTGGACCTACAGTGACGAGGCCAAACAATCCTTGGCAGAGCGGGTCTGCAACCTTGATAAGTCCTTGGAGCAATCTGGTATCCAGGCCGGCAGACCGTTTGGGCGGCCGTAGGGGCATGCTGTTGCCGCCACTCTCCTTACGAAATCACGACGAAAAGTCCTTAGGTCCCAAAGCCACGGTGCTGCAATGTTCGCTTAGATGGTCTTGGATGGTCTCTACCTCTCGTACAAACAGCAACACTTCTTGAAACACAGATGGTTTTCTCACTGCGGATACTGAAATGTTTCTGACTTGATGAGACAAGGACAAGAACTGACTAAAGTTACACCTGACGCTAGTAGGTGGCTCTCTTTGAGAACATCGACAAGTACCTGAAATCGGGGCGAGAAGGCCTTGAAGGCTGGTTCACAGGTCAGATTCTGTGCGTGGTGGCGCTCATCTGTTGGTACTTGATGGTGGCCAAGGAGGTGAGTCATGCCACAGCATTGCATCGTGGGGTCATTGCGATGCCGTTGGGTCCCACGCGATTAGATGCCCGGGAGAATCCCTTCACCCAGCAGAAGCACTATCGCTTGCGGAGCGTGGCTGCGCGAAGGAAGCTGTTCAGCTTGATCTTGTTGATCTACCGCTTGGTGGCCGCAGGTGTGTCAGACGGGAGTTTTGCTTGGTGTTTTGATGAGCTGTTGCACCTTTGGAAGCTCTTTAATTGAAGTTGATGGTGAGTTGATGGAGATGAAGTGGGGCATCCTGTTCTGTTTTCTTTGGGGTGGCTTGCTTAGCAAGACGCAGACTTGGTGCAAACGGTTTTTGAGCATAGAGGTCCGAGGTGGTTTTGTTACATCTCTTCTCTTGCGATTGCCGAAGACTCTGTCTGTGTAGCCGCAGTTGCACCTAATTCTTGATTTCATGCAAAGGCCCAACAAAGGGGGGGGCGTCAGCACCGAAGTTTGGGTCACTTCCGAACCAACCATCTCGGGCTCCCAAATGGGCGAACCAGCGCGGAGTGAACGGCAACAACACTTCAAGGGCAGACGGGTTCTGCAAAAGCAGGGGCATGGTATTCCTGCGGGTAAACGGCGATCACATGGCACTTACTACGCCCTGCGCACGTGCGCAGCTCGGCGGACTTCTTGTTGGAATTCTAGGTAGCCTCCAGATTTCTGTTTTCGTGCTTCCTCGGAACATTCGCTTCTGAGGGACTCTGGAAAGCCACTTGGCTTGCTGCTATCTCTGAACATTCGTCTCTTCTTGCCCTGCATGTACTTCGGGCAGTCGACAAAAATCTGCTGGGACTCCGGAAAGCCGCTTTCTTTGCACACTGCCATTCTTTTCTCTGACTCGCCATTTCCCCTGCATATGCCTCTCTTGATCTTCAAAGTGCCGGATTGAGAACATCCGTGGAGTTGGAGAAGACACCGTCGGAAGCCAGCGCCAACTTCCAGTCAAAAAGACTGAGAACATCAGAGCCAGCAAGCGTGAGCAACCCCCCCCCGACAGAAATGTAGCCACAGATGCCACTGGGGCTGCCACCTCGGGCCCTTTTGTTAATTACATTGAACCAACGAGTTGCACACAGCGCGGTAACTGCTGTTAGGCCTGTTGGTCTTCGTGGGGACTTTCTTCTTGGTCTATACCGTCAGTGTGACCGAGCTGATTTTGAACGCTGTGGCCTTAGGGATTCTTGACTCAAATCAGCCGTCCGTCGATGTGCACACAAAAGAAATCGACGACGTAAAGATATCGTCGAGGCGGTGAGAGGACTTGTGTTCCTTGGAGTTCCATGCGGGCTCCCTCCCACTAAAAATTCATAGATGACTTCCTCCAAAACTTGAGGATTATTCTGGACATTGATGACTTGCTCTTCGATGCTTTGGCCACGACCCCTGGGCGTCATTTAGTCCATCAGCTGGATCCACTTCCCATGCCGTCACTCCCACGGTGGCGAGGTGCGGATCTGAAGTCCGCTTCCATGTCAGTGCTGATCCCAACCCTGACGTTGGTGGTGTATTTGACGATGTTGGGGCCCTTTGTGGGCACCTTGACCGAGGTGAGTGAAGCCATGTGTGGTGGCAACAAACTCTTTGTTTGGAATGTGGACAAGCGTCAGGTGGTTCTCATGTCACCCACTGCTGGGAATGGTTGGGAGGAAGAAGAAGGGAGCATCAAGGGTCTGGCCGTGGAAGAGGGGAAGAGCATTGGCTATGGCCTTGCAGAGAATGACACCAGATGGGGTCTGTGGGTCAGCGATGTCTCCTTCCTGGACGATGCCTCTGTGCTCACCTTGGCGGAGACCATCGATGCCAACAACCCAACATGTGGTGATTTGGCGGACGCTGAGCCGATGCTCTCTTACCTGAGATATTTCCTGGGAAATGAGAGCGTTCAGGGATGTGCGGATGCCCTGTCCTTTTGCAGCTCCTTCACCAGCATGCCTGACTTTGGCGTGGATGGAGGCAAGGGCTGGGGAGCTCGAATGTTGTGTTCCGCCACCTGTGGCTGCAATGATCCAGCAGGCCAGCACATTGCGGTGCAGGGCTGTCCATATGGCGTCAGCCGCCCGTGCCAACAGTCCCAAGCTTTCCAAGCAGTCCGACGGAACAGTGCCTGCAGTGAGAAGAGCGCCGCCAGCCTTCGAGAATTTCTACCATGGGTTGAATGGGTCAATACGATACGTGCCTATGGAGAGTCGCCTGCAGATCTAGCCTTAAAGGACGATGCCCTGCTGATTGCAGAGGCGATGTGGGATCACGGTTGCGACTTTCCAGCCAATTTGAGCGCCCGGAACATCTCCTGGGGAAACTGCTTCAATTGGAACAGTACCTTTGAGTGGGACTTCAAGACGATTGAGGCCTTTTGCCCGCTGACCTGTGGATGTTCAGCGAGTCACACACTCACCTCCTGCCCGCAGCCCTTTGGGTATTCCTGTGATGAGATCGACCGACGCGGGTGCCTCACCTGGAACGATCAAACCTTTTGCCCCAACTTCTCACCCAGCTTTCGAGGCGCGGTCTTTCGAGGCAAAGAGGACGTGTCCTTCTAGCGAGGACACGTCCTCTTCCTGAAAGGATCCAAACGAAGAGGACGCACCCTTTCCGAGGATGTTATCTATATGTATATATATATATATTGTATATACCTGTGTGCATCAAAAGGTTGGTAGATTCAAAACTAAGTCCGCATCGTGTGCATGGCTTTTCAAGAATTCTTCGTCAGCCACGTTTGTTTTGTGCAGATACAGCGCCCGGTAAGAGGTTCAGTCCTACCGTCCTACCTAAGCCTAAGCGACACTCATGTCACCCTAAAGCGCCTCCGCTTTATGACCGCGCGGTGCCATGTCGTTTGTGCAAGCAGAGATGCTTTTTGTTTCTGTGCACCTGTGCTTGAGAACTTCTCTGATGCGTTCCATGTAAGCCTACAATGTCAGCATGATGGAATTAGTTCATATTAGGACACCTCTAATTGCTTTGTTGGCAATGATCTTTCTTTGCTAAGCCTTGAGCCTATCACCTTGCTGTGGCGGCGCGAACACGCGACGCCCCGCGTCGTTGCCCCCAGGGGGCCATGCAAACGGGTCCAAGCTCCGGCCAGGCCAGAAAGCCGAAGACTAGAGAGATCGAACCCTAACAAGGAAGACTCTGTGCTTGAACAGCTTGACGTGACTGCAGAACGGAATATGATGTTTGAGCTCCAAATGTGTATAATGGATCTATCAGATGGCTTTCAACGACTGCCGAAGACAAGAAGTAGAAGTTGTCAGCCTGGGAACATAGCACAATGGCTTTGGAGTGTTTGATCGCGTGAACATGCAAGGAGCCCTCTTAGCGTAAGGAGCTTGCGAATCATTGAAGATAGAGTCCGCAGACAACACACGGTGGAAAAGCAAAGCACATCGAACAGAGCAATTCGCAGACATTTCTTAGCTACGAGCGTTCTGTCTTGGTTTGGGCATGCATACCATGCATACACATGACGAGTCCAGCTGAGTCCAGCTTGTGACAACCCCCTGAGTCCTGCAGGCCTCATCTCGTGCGGTATTTCAGCCACAGATCCTGCGCTGCTCGCGCCCTTCAGTGCGATTTTTGAGTTGTCCCTCACCGAAGCAGTGGCATTTCATGCTGGAGTTGGATCCTATAGTATCAAGATGGATCTCCAGTTCAGAAATCCGCAGCTGATTGGAATCTTTAGCATTTTCAAAGTGGAGGAGGACACGAATCTGCAGACTGCGTCTGCGCAGCTGTTCTCGACCTCTGCAGCAGAGATGGAGGCAACTGTCACACAAATACTTCTGAACCGCTCTGTGCCTGTAAATGCTATTGGTCTGAGCGTTCAAGGTTTGAGCAATGTCGTGCCGAACAATCTCCCCTGACCGGGCAGAAGAGGTCCATATGGATCCGACCAAAATCTAATTGCTGTCCTGTGTCCGAAGAGAGGTGAAGAGATCCTTTCAGGAGCGACTTGGGAGATAGCTTCAGATGGTTCACACCGTACTGTAGAACCTCAATCGAGGTGCATGAAAGAAGACACCGAGCCACGTGTGTCCTGCCGAAAGCAGGACAAAACATGGTGGCGAAGTAGTTCCATTTGTGCATGCCTATTGAACACTGGGGCATTTGTTTGGTTCCATTTTGGATGTTTTTTTTGCTTTCGTTTTGAAGCTCCATCAAGTGAAAAATGAGACACCTCCCAAACAGTGCCTCAGTGCCGCAGTGTTTTTTGGGGAGCGGAGAGGGAGTGAGGGAGTCACTCTTTCGTTCACCATGTGTGGCTCAGAAACACACAGATCTCGAAGTCGACCAAACCCTCGCCCCCCAAGATCAAATCTTTTCTGATCTTTAAAAGATCTTGGAAAGTCAAGAAGCCTGGCTGGGAGACAAAGTGTGTAAACATCGGCTTGCCAAAACAGAGGTCATGTAGGACCTGCTGTTTTCACACTTCCAGTATTTTGCGATAGAATTTGATGTTGTTCCCCACCTGCCAGGTGAGGGTTGTTAGATTTTATCAGAGCTATCCTCCTCCTCCTCCTCCTCCTCCGTGACTCCTCCTCCTTGACTCCTCCTCCTTGACTCCTCCTCCTCCGTCTCCTTGCCTCCTCCTCCCCAGATCGCGGTGGGCACCACCGCGCCTCAACCACGAGTGCCAGCTCGCAGTGGGCACCGCCGGACCTCAACTGTGAGCGCTATGGGTGGCAGATCGGAATGTCGAAAGAGTGTCAGAAAATGTGCTGCGTAGAATGCCAACATTTATGCCAGATAGAATGCCAGAACATGTCCCAGAAAGAATATCAGAAAGAGCGCCACAAGAAAGTCAGAAAATATGCCAGACAGAATGCAAGAATTCAGAATATGTGCAAGATAGAATGTCACACCACAGATAGAGTGCCAGAATGTATGCTAGATAAGTAGCCGGAACTTGTGCAAGATCGAATGCCATAATAATATATATATATATATATGCATCTATACATTACATGCAAGATAGACACGTCCTTGGTGATGTTGAAGCAAAATAGCCATCGATGATCAGCAGAGTTTCATGCCACGGTGGAGACTACTCGAAGCAAACAACATTTCGAAGGTATATATGCATATATCATCAGATACATCAAATCGCTGATGGACTGATGGTCGCATCCTGCAGATTTGTCGTTGGGACCCCAAGAAGAAGTTCGGTTTCCTGGAGTGCGGTTCACCTCCACAGGCAGGGTGCGTTTCCTTGTGTTTTTTTTTGATTGAAGAAACCAATGGTTCAACGGCTTGAGCTGATTTCTTTGGCTATTTTGAAGTTGAATTTCAGGGACCCAAATCTTTTGATCAGAGTGCTGGTAGCCTTTGCTCTGACAGAAACTCCTCTTCTTCGGCTCTGAAGTGCCGGCAGACTACCTTCGGGCCAATGAAGGGCAGGCACCCGAATAGGAGAGCAGGAACAGCTTGGATCAGGAACCTGATTCATGTGAGTCGAGTGGCGCGATTGGTTCTCACTTCAAAGCTACGAAACTGACTGCAAACTCTTCAGGGCACCTATCAAGGCCATTGTTTCTGCAATTTTTGCCTGTCAGATTCCCATCGGCGCAGACGTGGAATTTGAGCTGGGAGGTTTCACAAGACTTGAACTTGAAAATAGATCAAGGCGGGAGATCAGCTGTGCAATTCATTCACACAGTCATGAGGACCTCTTCGTTTTTTTTGACACATCAGTTGTCCCCTAATTCCACCCTTTTTCAAAAAGCAATGCGCTGGATGGGCAATGGCTGCGTGGCTGGATCATGGAATGACAGCATGCTTTCCACACCCAACGGCACCATTTCATTCAAGCTGTCACCCCACCTGAAAACGCCGAACCGGAACGGTCGACCCGGCGGAACCGCCGTTGTTCGGATGCAGGTCCGTTGACCGGTTCACCAGGAACCGGTCCAAGAGGACGGCGATCAACCTGGTCTTCCCATCCATCAGGCGTCCGCTCGGCCGCGCGTCGCAATGCCGCGCGTCGCGATGCCCCCGGTGCAGCAGGAACTTCTTGGAATTGGGACTCCACCCCGAGGTGCGGGCGACCACGGACGTCCTTTTTTTTTCTTTCGTCTTTAGACTGGAAGAGAAACCACGACCGGTGGGCTTCGGGTTTGGCTCGGAAGGTGCTGGAAGGTGCTGCAAGATCACTCGGCCGCTTGGATCAGTGTCGGTTTGTCGGTTTGTCCGTGGCCTTTCAGAGGTGGTGGTCTGATTTGGACTTTACTTGTTGTTGCAGCCTCTCACCAACAGAGACCCGTTTCAGGGCAAGCATGACGAGAAGTCACCACGCGCGCAAGAAAACTGGCCAAGCGGGTTTGTTTTGTCGCATTGGTGCGGCTTTGTCGGCTCAGATCTCTTCAATGTTCTTCACAGAAGCGGGTTCTTCTGCCAAAAACCGACTAGGAAGATGGCTTCGATGGAAGTAATGGAGCCAATTGCCAGTGGCACAAGTGGGAGTCAGGACATTCCTCCTCCGAAACTGACACAGAAGGAGATGCGAGAACAAGGCTTGATGCAGCTCTCAGATGCAGAAGGATGTGCTCAACTTCTCTTTCACTTCAGCTTCCTTGCCATTTGTGCAACATTGGTGACTTGGAGCTATCAGCATGGGCGCTGGGGCCTCTTGCTGGCCGCGGAAGTGCCCTTTGGCATGGCCGAGTCGTTTCTCTTCAACGGCTTTCATGAGATGGTGCACAACACCGCCTTCGAGACCCGATGGTTGAACACCTGCTGTGCACATGTGCTGGGCTTCTTGAACTTCCGAGGCGCCAAGTGGTTCTGGTGCTTTCATTGGACTCACCACCGCTTCACCAACGATCCCTCGAAGGATCCTGAGCTCAGTGGGGAAAGTGTCGATTTGGATGATCCGACCAAGTCCTTGAGCGGCTACTTCTCGTTCATCAGTGGTTATCCTTTCGGCTTTGAGCGTGTGGCTCGCATGGCCCGCACCGTGTTGAAGAATGAAGTGGATCCTTGGGTTGCAGATAAGCCAGAAAGTACTCAGAAGGCTGTCAAGATGGAAGCCAGCTTCTACTTGTTCGGCTACTTCTTGATTGCACTGCTTGCTCTCTTTCGCCCGAGCACCGTAGGTGTGAAGGTCGTTTTGCTTTGGATCCTTCCTCACTGCATTGGTGCAGGACATTTGAGACTCTATCAGTTTGCGGAGCACAGAGCTTGTAAGATGGGTCCTTATACAGATACCAATGCTTGGATTTGTGCTCGGACCACCTCCACTTGGTGGCTTTATCGAAAGTTAGCTTGGTATATGCCCTATCACGTGGAGCACCACGCCTGGCCCAACGTCCCTTTCCACAAACTTCAGGCAGCCCATGAGCTGGTGAAGGACTGAGCTTGTGCATTTGGCAACTGACACTCGGGATATGGTACAGGAAGGTGTGTGGTGAGGAACCCTAATCATAAGTAAGGACCATAATAAGGTGCCAAGAGAGCCAAGAGACGACCAAGTTTACATTGTTTTTGACAGTTCATGCATTTTCAAAAGAGCGTGATTATTTTCCGATTGGTAGGATGCCTATCAGAAGCAGGGCTTTACAAAGATCCCCACGGGCTGCAGCCCTTCAGGGGAGGGTGGCTATTTGTATCTTCATTGGGTGAGCTTCAAGCATATGCTCGCAAATGTCTCCAAGGCGGCTAAAGCCTAGTCTGAACAGACAGTCTTCCTTGGCTTTAGCGCCCAGAACCTTTGTTATGCTGAAAGCGGACAGGGCTGAGCTTTCCATGTACAATCTTCAAAAGCTGACTTCAGCTCTGTTTCTAAAAACCTTAATGTAGCCTTGCTGTTGGCAGGAATATCATTGCTGGTAAAGCTGCCATGCATGATGGAGCCATGCTGCTTAGAGCAGAGAATCTAAATCAGCGTCTCCTGACAGACTTCTCAACAGCGTTCGAATCTGCTTTAGAGTCAAGTGCATTCGACGACTCTTTTAGAGGAACAGACTTCCACAGATTCACCCACAGAGGTGCACGCAAAGACACCGCGACGTTCCAACTTGCGAAGAAGACCCAAAAAAAATTCAAGGCGGTTGCTTGAACTCGTGGTAGAGAAGGTACCATCAATGTCTTCAAACGTACTGTATATAAGGATAGTTGATCAGGATTTCGAACCCGAACATCAGAACATCCACAGCCATCGAGTCCTTAAGGTCTCAACCCTCGAGAGAATCCTGAAGCCCCTGAGCTGATCACTCCGGCGCCGGCCATGGCCTAAGTTGAACAGAAAATCGGGCTGGAAGGTCTCTCGATGAGGTTCCAGACTGTTGGGTTTTAGACATAACATCGGAAGGAATCCGAGATCTTTCTTGCAATGGTGCTGCCACCAGGTTCAGGAGGAGGCCATTCCAAGGATTTTGCAGGGCGACAATGTGGCGGGATCCTTAGCTTCACCCTTCAGTGTAGTGCCCTGAAGGCCCAGGTGGTATGGTTCCTTTTGGTCATTCACATCATTGTGGCCCAGTGGTCCAGTTCTTCTTTGAACCCGAAGTATGTTCAGGTCATTGCGGCCGAGACTGGCTCGGGCAAGAGCTTAGCGCCAGGGCCCTGGAGGGAAAGGCCGTGGGGCTTCAGAAGCGCGAGGGCAGCCCTCACCCAACTGGAAGCTCCAAGTGAGTATGATCTCAACATGCAGGGGAATCTTGGCAGTTCCCCTTCCTTGCACTTTGTATTCTGGGTGCTCTTTTTTGATCACAAACCCCTGATGGAGGTGCACAACAGAATCAACCGGATGGCTGCTCATGGCAAGGTACATGCTTCCAATGGTGCAACTGGTGCGGAAGATGGCGCAGGCTGAACTGCGGGCAGTGTCCATCGACAACGGGTGACTGGTGTACAAGCATATGTCAGTTCGATTCGGTTCAGAGCGGCCTGGAGACGGACGGGTGAATGTGCTTGTGTGAGAGGCCCGGAGCATGAATTATGGTCTTGCATATCGAGCTGCGTCGCCTCTGGCGCTTGCTGGACACCTGGTGGACATGACTTTGAAGCTTTGCAAGCCCTTCATCTCTGCCCAAAGACAGAGCTTTGGAGTACAATGCCAACACCATTGGCTTGGCTGCTTTCATCAACCCTCTATGCCTGCTATGCCTGCTATGTTTCTCTCCTTTTGGGCCTTGTCCCCACAGCCACTCGGGTGATCCTTTTTGCAGCCGCACGGCTCGTGGAGGGTGTTTCTTTTTGGGCTGACGAAAAGCCTTGGCCCTGCTGGACGACGCACCGCGCGGAGGCCAAGACTGGCTGACAAAAATGATCGAAAAGGATCCTAGTAGCTTCTTGTTACTAGTAGTATGGCCAGGAGCTACGTTCGTAGCTTCTTGCTCCGTTCGTAGCGATGCCATTTGTTTCTAGTAGCATTTGGACAATTCAATTGTTTTTTGCAGGTCTCAAATGTCAATGCCTGACTCTTCAAGCTGAAAAGAAACGGATCGGATTAAAAGACCTTCTTCAAACCGCTGCAGACTCTGCATGCACTCTGCTTTAGTCACACTTCCAAGGCCTTGGAGATGGTGCGCATCCCAAATTTGGGCGATGCCTTCTGGAGCCGAAACACCAAAGACAACCATCAAACCAAACCAACTTCACGTCCCTTACGGAGGGCTCTTCCCTCTCCCAAACCCACCGCGCCGCGTCATGCGCCCCGTGGGGCGCTGCTTCACCGGCCGGAGGTCTGGAGACTCCAAATCACGTCCGACTCGGAGGCCGCCACGGTGGGACGCGCGTCGCGCGGTCGCGCGTATTCGCGATCGGACGGGAGGTGAGAGACGTGGAATTCGAAACAGCCCCTGACTACGAAGCCGTGCTTGCCGAAGTTCGTGCCTTTGGTCGAAAGGAGGGGCGAACAGGATGGCGGGTGTGGAAGGGGAAAAAACATGGATCACTTCCAAAAGCCGAGTTTTTCACGATGTGCACCTCACACCAAAAGGATATACTTTGCGGTGTCTCTCCTGCTGGCTCTCCCCTGCACATGTTTTTCTGGCCTGGTGGTGAAAAGCTCAAGGGCTCCACTTGTTTTTTTCTTTCTAAACTCCAGCGTTGCTGAGGCTCTTTCAAAGCCTCCTTCAATCAGATGACCTACTTCGATGAGGCGAAGACGTCCCGTCCACGGTCCCACATCCTGCGATCCATGATCCAAATTCTAATAGCTTTTTGTTACTACTAGTAAGGCACCTGTTACTACTAGCGTGGCACTTGTTACTACTGGTAAAACCATCAAGAAAGGGGGTACATTTCAGGGTCTGGATTTACAGTCACAGCGACACACGAGAGGTGGACACAAAAATAAACAAGAACCCCAAAGAGATAGAAAGGGCTTCCAATGCACTTTTAGTGGTGATCTACTCTTCTATATCTTCTTGTTACTAGTAGCGATGCCCTTGTTACTGGTAGCTTCTGGCTACTAGTAGCGATGCACCTGTCACTAGGTAGCTTCTTGTGTCTATTTGAGGTTCTCTTTAAACAGGGCATTCTTTGGGCTGTTCGTGGCAGCACAGCTGTGTTTGCGCCGTAGGAGGATTGCATTTTGACGCAGCACAGCTTCGATGCGTTCCTGGCCTTGGGAGAAGATGCTGGACAGGTGGGGTATCCAAATGTATGAACAAACATCCGCAACGTCTCTTTTCTTTCGGTGTTTTCTTTTAGGTTGGAGGCCATCGCTAGTAGGTTGTTTCTTCCTTTTTTTGCCCGGAGTGGGCAGGCCGCGAGGTAAGCTGCTTTTTTGGTAAGAGGTAGCTAGAACGCTAGGACGCAGGAAAGCGAGCTTCGCTTCCTTGAAGCAGCGCTCGCGCGATTCATGCGCTTCCTAGATGTTTAGGGAAACCCGTGAGCTACTTACTGTATTTAGATACTTTATACTTTGCTTAAAATTTGGATCCAAAGCTTGGGAACCTGCATGAAGACATCGGATTTGGAATAGGATTTATATAGAACACGATTAGAATATGGACTTAGGATTAGAATAAAGAGTTTCTAGTTCATTGATTACCTCAGAACTTCTGGGGGTCATTTTGCCCTTCCTGACATGTCCTCTTCAGTTGCTGGAAAAGAGCTCCACATGGCCTATGTCTCATTGCAGGTCCTCAACATCAGCCTGGACAATGTGACAGGAGCGATTTTTCAAGGGGCTTCGTGGGACCTGTCCCATCCACCAAAAGGGGCACACCAGTTGCACACACGGTTGAGATGGCACATGAGAAAGAAGAAAAGATACAGACAGGCATATAGACATTTAGACTGATAGATAGATCGATCGATATAGAAATAGAGATAGAGACAGAGACGGAGGCAGAGACAGACAGATAGATAGACAGACAGAAAGACAGATAGATTTTATAGGAACTCTGAAGTTGATTGCATTGCATGCTGCCCTTTTTCGACTGAGATGCTGCAGGCTTTGTGAGTCGATCAAACTCAGACATCTCAAGTGGCTGGGAACGTGTCGAGATGGAAGATGCAGAAGATGCGCGAGCGGAGAAGCCAGGCGCCTGTTTTTTCATGTCATCACCAGCTCTGTTGAGGAATAGCAAGTCCATTTCTACACCCAGTCAAGGTCAACAATCAAATACTGTTGTGGAACTCGTTCCTGAAATCATTGTAGAAGATTGCGTAGGCGTTTCAGTTATATTCAATGATAGCAAACTGGAGACCCTCCAGATACTAAAGGAGGAACACCTGAGATTTGGATTGATATGGTGATATGGATCCATGCAACTTTTGAGAATCCCAGTTTTAACTGGAGGTCAGCCAAATCTTCCGGCGGACCTCTACCTTGCTGTGGCTTGGATGGAAAAGACCTGCTCGTGTTGTCCAAAGCCCAAGCTCTTTGAGCCATCTCAAGGTGTTTGGGCAACTCCACACCATGTCCAAACCATGTCCAAATCCTCCCCCTCCTCCTCCCATTTGCTTTCATTCCGAAAAGCCGATGCCTCCTTGCCTCCTTGCCTCCTCGCCGAGGACAGCAGGGAGGGCCCGATCTCTCAGTGGTTGACCTCGGCCGCCAAGAGACTCCTCCGCGTCCCCGACGCCTCGCCGATCGCGGAGGCTCTCAGTGCCTGGGACGCGAAGGTCGGATCCGGGTAGCTACTGTAGCGCTACCAGTAACAAGAAGCTACTTCAGAGATGCTTTCTTTTCTTTATTTTATATGTTTTTAAACGTGGTAGGAGGATGAGGTCTTATTTTGGGGTGTACCCACTGAGTTGATGTTCAAGCGGAGGGTGGCAAGGGTCTTGTTAATGGCTGCGCTGCCCTGGCTGCGCTTGGGAGGTGTTACGCTGCGAGTTTCAGCCCGGTGTCACGGTTCCAGCCGTTTCGATGTTTCATTGAACTCACCACTTTGTTGGACTCCGGGACAAATAGGACACTCACGCGGTAGCTTCCTTCACTTGTTTGCCAGATGTGGTCAAGCGTTTCACGATGCCATGCGTTTCATGATTTACGATTTTCTTTCCATCCATGCGTTTCATAGCTGAGACCGCTGTGAGAGGGCCCAAGATGTGGGACCAAGAGTGAAGAGTGACCAAGCTGAACGGACGAAGAGTGACGAGTGACTACCAGTTCCATGAAAAAGCGCGGTTGAACCCTTTGTTGATGATTTGAACACTAACATTTTGAGGTTTTGATGGCTGTGTCGCTCTCTTTGTTCTTTCGTTTTTTCAGGGTCTTGTACTGTGCCCTGAGGTCCTACCTTTGAGCCTGTGGAAGTAGTACAGACTCAGGCTGGTAGCTCAGCTTGGCTCAAAGCCTGGCAAATTTTGAGTGAGGAAAAGATCCATGAGAGACAAAAAGATCTGCCTTGAACTTGAGCATGACCAACATCGCCAACATCGCCGTAGCATGGTGGTTTCCAGTGTTTGGCCATCATCAAGTATTCCCGATTTTTGGACCACCTTCTTTCGACATCAGGACCAGCATTTGATCAACTGCAGGACACAAGTGAAGTTGATGCACCAGATCCAGACCAGAAGGACAGGCCAACCGCGGCTGGAAACGAGTCAATTGGAAGGCCTTTGGACTTTGGACTTGGTGGGGCCGGACTTGGTTCCTAAGCCAAACTTCATGGTTCCACGAAGGGACGATGGATGAACTTCTTTCGCGTTTTCAATGGGTTTTCAAGGATGCTCAGTGATTTTCGCGATTTCAATGAACCCCAGCAGCTTGTTCTCGAAAACGAAGAAAAAGCGTTCCCAACAGCCTTTTCGTGTGCGGGTGGTCATCGCGACACGGTCCAACCCTGACAGGATGCAACTGGGGGTGAGCCAGAGGCCTTTGAACAATGCCGATAGATCTGACTGTAGCAACTGATCACAGATCACTCACTGTAGCAACTGAACGACTTGTGCCAAGCATCAATTCCCACTTTTAGTAGCAAGTGCATCGCTACTAGTAACAAGACCATTACTACTACTATATAGTAGCAAGAAGCTACTAGGAACAAGGGCATTGCTACCAGTATTTGTATATATATATATGGTTCGGTCCTATAGGTCTGAAAGTCTGCCAGGTAAAGCCGAAGGATTCAGCATTGGAGCGCAGACACTTGGCTTCAGACATCTCGCTAGCGTCGGCTTTGAGCAAAAGGCCCGCCCACCACCCTGTGCTCTGCGCAAAAAAATGAGACAACACAGAGACCGAGATGGTTTTTGGAACCTCCTTTCGTCCAAAGAAAGCAACGAACCCCGAAGCTGGGCCCCCCTCTCCCTCTAGGGCTTCCAGGGCTTCCACGGGGCTTCCACGATGCATGTGACACCGAGGCTGTCAGGTGTGCCGTGGGCTATTACGTTTACATCAGCCCGCGCCCTTTGCCTATTGGAGCTGCGATGGCTGTGGCAGTCGGAACCTGCGCAAGGATGCCATGTGGGGCTGCCCCTCGGATCGGAGAGGCCGCTCTGTGTGTCTTTTCTTGTGGGCTCTTCGCAAGGTCGGCAGATTCCAGGAAAGAGTTGAAGCATGTTGAACCTGAAACCTCAGAGTCCTTAGAGAGTCTGCTTCCAATCCAAGGCTCACAACCGGATACCTGCGATTGGGGCTTGTGCACAGGTTGCCATCCTGAGAAGGCGGGTCCGTTCTTGGCGGTTCCATCAGGTTTGGCAAGATGGAGAATCACTTGGGGTTGTTTCCCACAGAATCCATGTCAACATATGTACACAGTATATATATATATATAAGCGAAATACTTGGGCATGGAAGAGTTTGAGCGTTTCAAGGAATAACTTTCCATGCTATGAAGCGGGGAAACCACGCGTCATGGGGCAAACTTGCTTCCATGCTGGCCACCAGATCACTACATGCTTTGTTTGCGGAAGGGAGATACACAAGCAGCCAGAAGGAGTGAATAGTGCCGGAAAGAGGACAGACAGCATGGCATTGGCGGGAACTGGTTTCGCACGGGGCAATACATAGGCAGTTCTGGGTTTTGGCACGCCTTTGTACCAGGTCGTATCCCTGAAACCCGAAGACCTGCGAAAAATGCTGAGACACTTTTGTAGCTCAAACCCACTAAGACTAAGATGTCCTCCACAATGCGGCTGTACATACGTTCATTCAGCCCAAGAAAGAGCGCGACTGTAACGAACACACACTGTAAACTCTTGTGCTAGGTGATGGCATGTCCAGTGCAATGTATATATTGGGAACCTTCTGTGTGGATGAAAAGGGAACATACAGTGCCCAACATTACTTTGGCAAATGCCCCCAATGAGGCAACCATTTCCAAACCAAACGCGCCTGTTTCCACCCACTTCCTTTATGGCGACACGACACTTGCGCTTGCCAGGCCTTCGGGCCAGATGGGTTTGTTGGCGACGGGATTGTCCCTCTTGCGGGTATGCTGCTAACTGGTCTGATTTTATGAGCCTTGACTTCAAAATCACCGCAATTTGTGGCGACAGAGGACGGACTCCCCACAAAATCTTCTGCATTCGCGACTCGCAAGCGTGGTCACTCGCGCCTGCGAATGCCACCGAGGCTCGGCTTCAAGGCATCTTGGCGAAGCATTCTGTCTCGCTTCCCGACACGGCGTCTCCAAGGTGTCGAGCGAACTGCTGAGGTTCTCTTCATCGAGCTGAAAGAACGAATGAGCTGAGAACGGACGAATTCAGTTGTTGCGCAGATCAGCTCGAATCTGAAGTTGATTCAGTTTTTCTCACACCCAATCAGGAGAGTCAAGAATTTTACAGAAGATTACACAATGAGTCCTGCAACTCTTTGTTTGGTTGTTGTTTTTTGGTAGGCACAGTCCGCATAGGCTTTGGCTCTCGTGCGCTTGACTCTTTTTGTCAGATTTAAAGGCTGTGATAGCAAGAACACCGCGGATCGGGTCAATCACCACAAGCCTTGCTGAACTGTTTGAAGAAACCACTCAGCCCACACTCGGACTCAGCCATCATCACGGTCAATCGTCGGTCCAATGCCCACGGTCTCAGCATCTTGTGCTGACCTGATGTCCGTCTGCTCCAGTCTAATTGGACATGCCGTCCGTCGAATCAACAGCATCTCCCCGGGGACGCAATGAACGACCTGACGTCGAGGTCAGCTCCCGAGTGCCGGGGAGGAACGGGGCGCTTTAATGCCTTGAGAGTCTGAAGGGCTGCAGCGCAGAAAGCGGCCTGAAGTCAGACATAGATAGATGGAATTTCAGTCCTGCGACTGTGTACATAGCCTCTTAACCTGGAATGACAGGTCTAGATGGCACCTTGCTTTTGCATTGCGATGCATTTTTGGGAGATCCTTTGGCAAGATATATCTAAAGTTTCTGGCAACACCCGCATGCTTTGAGAAGCAACCACTATGGGCTCCTACAAGGATCTCCTTCACGCTTGCAATGTGGGCAAGTACGCTTGCCCCCGACACCAAGCCATGCTGAAGATAGACAAGACAGGCGGTGTGAGATTGTGTTTCCAGTGCACACTTTCCTGTTGAACTGCAAAGAGCTGTTTTATAAGATGAAAGGTTGGAGGCCATCGTAAGTAGGTTGGAGACCATCGCTACTAGAGTGGAGGCCATCGCTAGTAGGTCGGAGGCCATCGCAAGGGTGGATATTTGCTGATTGGCGGGCCCTGAGTCTGCGTTCCATGCTTGTCCAACTTCGGCCAAGGCCATTTGTCCAACGCGGGAACTGGCTATACAGGTGAGGGAAGCATGGATGGTGTTCAAGAGAACTATGGTTTTTGTTTTCAATGTTTTGCATATATTAAGATTCTTTGCGAAAGCAACGCTTCAGTTTCTCCTTTGGGTGTGGGCGGAATGAACTGTTCAACCATCCTCTCTGAGAATCAGTCATCAATTAGAGTAGCAGTTGGAGATGTGCGTTTGTGACCATGTTCCAGCTTTTCGCCAGAGTTGGACTCGAGGCCCACAAGACCCTAAAGCTCATTAGCCACCATGCAAAGAACCTTGGGTTTCATTTAGTGCTTTGAGGCGAAGGAAGCATGAGACATGCATTAATTTACATTGGGACTTGATTCCAACTGAGCTTTTCCAGATGTAACATGAGATGATGTTGGGTATGCGCAAGATATCAGGTAATTACGACCATTCAGAGCATCACCGACGTTCCTTCAGAGCATCACCTGTTCTTCTTTTCATCTCAGGTGCCGTGTCCGTTTGGCCATGGCCACAGTCTGCATCGTGACCGCGGAGGGAGACAGGAGCAGCGCTGAGCAGCGCGCGCTGAGGTGCATGGAGGCTCGATGACCTGGAATAAGCCCGGCGCTCAGCGGAAGAAGCACAGCAATGACAGAGCTGGAACCGAACTCGCGATGGAGCACATCTACCACTCTCCGGAGACTTTTGTCGGAGTCAGCTTTTGAAGGTATTTTATTCTCACTTCTAGAAAAGAACGGCTGGATATGGGTCTTTATTCCGAACCTCTCATTCATTGTGTCAGGCAGCGTCGGGAGATCTCTCAGATTGTCGACATCTTGGTTTGCACACCAGACAGGCGGCATGACCGATATTTTCCGACCAGACAGTCAGACTTGGTTGTGGTTTTGGTGATTCAACCTGAGTTTTTGATTTGGTCCTCAAGGTGTCAAGGTTCTCGGATCCATCCTACTGATATCTCGCTCTCTGTTGCATCCGGCTGTTGCGATGAGGAATGAGGAATGTTCATTCGTGCGATTTTAAGGTGCTCTTTGCAGTCACTTTGTACGGAAGAGGCTTTGCACCTTCCATTGTCTCACCTCAGCTTTCACAGCGAGCTTGGCTCAAAGCAAAGAAGAAGTGCGTAACAAATGTCTGGCTTATCTCTTCTCAACCAGCAGATGCAGACTGAGCTTCAGATACTAGGACCGTACTCGGACCGTTTTCTTTCACTGCTGTTTCGTGCGGAATCCGCTGTTTCGTGCGTTCCCTAGTCTTGGAAAGTAGACCATGTCCATCACCAAAGGCACGACCGACAGTTCCATGTTGAAGATATCAGATCAGACGATGGGCCTGTAGCATGGAGCATCCCTGGCATGGGGGCACCAGGCGGGAGATTTTGATGATCAAAGGGTCTAAGGCCATGACGTGCTATGCAAACACTGAGTCATTCGGTGTGGAGCGAAGTTAGACTAAAGGAGGAGAGAAAAGAATGTTCGTTGAAGCCAACGCTTGTTTTCAAGACTGAGGCGGAATGGCCCAGGCAGGGTGTGCCGTGCTAGGTCCAGGTGCTTTTTCATACCTCCATGATTGGCATATCACGAAAGCTAGCACCAGCTAGCTGGAGTTGTCCTTGCTTTAGCAAGTGAGGGGCTGGAATCCTCG